AAAATATGTATATGTATCTCCTGAAACAGACCAAAAAGATGGTGAAAGGAGGGTTCCTAGCTTAACCTCGGGCTTGACACTCGCTCTTGCACGTGTCCTTGCCATGATGAGTGCCACCCTCCAGGTGTCCCCCAGGGTGACAGATGGTGCATCCAGCCAGGCCCTGACCGCCTCGCCAGAGCGGCCGCTGATGCGCACCGGGGCAGCTTCTGGGCTACGCTGCCTCAGCGCCTGCCGAGGTGATTTGGGGGCTGTCAGAGAACAAGGAAGGACAGAGAGAGACTATTTCCGCCTATACTGAAGTGGAAAAAGACAGCCTGCCTGCCTTCGTGGATGTGACCCTGGGTGTCCGGTGACGGTCCTGAGCACTGGATTCAGAGGCAGCTCTCCTTTGTCATTCTTGGCTGGAGGAAGCTGGTAAAGCAGCTTTTGGAGCTGTACAGTATAAAAGTCAACAGCTAAGGGAGGTACAGGGCCAGGGACATCTTTAAAAGCTGTGTTGCCGAGGGACAGCACCCTCTGTCCCAGAAGGTGAGGGCAGAGAGATCGAGGCTCTGTGGAGTCAGCGCGCCAGGGAACCTTCTGCTCCCACTGTGCCTTGCTGGCCTTGGCTCCCCTAATATGCAGGGAGAAGGAATAATTCCAGCTTTCATAGGTACTACCCTTTGCACTGTTAATGTGCTGTGTGTGTCCTGATTTGCCAGCTCATCTGAGAAGGCCGATATGAGCTGCGGGAGGAGAGAGGGCTGAGTGTGGGCGGCTGGTATATTGTAATGGGCACAGCACAGCCTGGCAGGCCAATTGCCCTGGCCTCTGCCCTCCTGGAGGATTTGCTGATGGTTGTTGTACCAGAGTTCTGCTTAATTTGCCTGCTGATGTAGCCCCTGCTTCTTACTTCCCTGTGGGGTACAACGACCTCAGTAGCACACGGCTGCTGGCTTCTCCTGCCGGGGTTGGAGACTTAACTAAGCGTGTGCGCCCCCCAACTTGGCTATGCTGGCTGTGTTACTGGCATTAAATAATTTCATCATAAGATGTGTAAGTCTCTGGAATAAGTATGAAAATCAAAACCGTTGTTTCTACAAAATAAATGAAACGCTTAGAAACGTAGGGTAAAAACTAGTTGTATTACAACAAAAGGATGCCATCACATTACATAAGAACAAAGCAATGGTTAGAGAAAGATCTGGGAGGATGGAGGTGGTGGCATGGTTGGGCGGAAGGGTCCTGCCTGGTGTTGGTGAGGCCTGAGGTTTTATTGCTGCACCATTCCAAAACAATTACGGACAAAAAGCAGTAAACAGAGGGCACGCAGTCTGCTTTACCAAGAACCCCAGCAGGAACTCACAGATGTGCATTTTGGTGAGAGGAAGTCTGCTGCCCAAATCGGGCTCACTGGGCACAGGTGAGGGGACAGGAAGGAAGGACATGCTGCTGGGGAGGGCTCCCGCTTTGTGTCCAGTATTGTGGCCTGCAGGACACATCGGGTCGCCTCCTTGCTGCCTGTGTCCCGTTAGGGAGTCCCCAAGCACCCAGAAGTTGAGATCCCTTTCTTAGCCAGGACTCCTTCTCCCCTGGACTTCTAGGTCCCTTCCTGCCTTCAGCATGTTAGCTCCTGCCCAGAGTGGGCTCTCGTTGGCCCCTGGTACTTACTTGGATGTTTCCAGTATTTTGGAGGTGAACATCCTGCTTCTTGTGAAGTAAATGTGTCCCTGTATCTGACATGGTGGGAGTGTCAGTTGTGTGTTCTTACACATTCAGATATCTTCAGTGGCAAGCAGGGTGTTTGTTCATTGCAAGAGCATAAGTGCCCAGTTAGCTGTGTGCTCTTGTGACTGGGAGGCAGAGACTGTGACAGTTTAAGGGCTTTGGGGTTGAGTGTGTGAGAGAGGCCAGGTGGGCATGGCAGAGGAGCTGATTTTTGCCCAGTGAGACCTGTTTTGGGTTTCAGATTTCTACATTTGCAGGGTCATAAATCTCTGTTGCCTTAGGGCACCAAGTCTGTGGAACTCGGTTACAGCAGCAGTAGGAAACTAAGGCACCCTTGCTTCTCTAGACTGGGTTTTCTAATAAGGGACACGGACGTTTATGGAATAGGCAAAAGACAGACTAAGTCCTGGTCCAGCCTCTCGGGCGGGGCTCAGCCTGGTGGTTTGTTGGTAATGCTGGTTCCTCTGTTCAGCACGAGTGCCAGGCGCAGAGGATTCAGAGTGCCTGAGAGCTTGGTGAACTCACAAGCAGTGAGTCCCTCAACCTCCCCTGTGGCTCTGTGTTCTCACCATCAAGTTGGAGTTATTTCAGATTTCTCCTTTCTTCTTTGAGCTCCAGCCAATTTCCTTTGATCAAAGCTACTGATTAAATATATATTAAGTATACTACTGATTTTATATATATATATATATATATATATATATATATATATATACAAACAAGGGCCAGGGAGCGCACAAGCTGTTGTTTGTGCTTGCATGGACGGGCCTATTTTTAGTGGGCCCCTGTTGCTGAGACCAGGTCTTGGGGTCTGCAGGTGGCAGGTGGATGGTGACATGCAGGTGGTGGACACTGCCTGATGTTCCCAGGCTGCTTGTTACGCCTGCAGCTCAGAGTTTCGGGGAGGTGCTGTGCTTTCCTCAGGGTGAAGTAAATGTATGGAGAGAATCTGGGAAGGATCTGGAATGGTGGGGCAGAGCAGCGCAGCGAGGGCTCCCATGAGGGGCTCCCCTCTGTGCTGTCCCAGAAGCCTGCTGGGGTGAGCTCAGTGCCCAGAGTACCGGTTAGCCTCACAGAAGCTTGGCAGCTGTTGTGGGTGACCGAGAGGAGCCCCGGGCTCTCATCCTTGGCTTTTGTTTCCAAGGCCCCCCCCCCTCTGGGGCGGGGCCCATTGAGTCCCATTTACCATGTGACTTTGGAGAAACTTTTGAAGTTTTTTCCCATCTGTAGAATGGTACCAGTGTGATGGGCAGTGTTGTGAGGTTAAATGAGTCACTCTGGGCCAGGGCCTGGTCCCCCCATGTGGCTGTACACATTGTGCCTCAGCCTCCTACACTGTCCTGCCACACAGTGCTGGCTATGTCCTACGGATTATTTCACCAGTTTCCTGGAGTGGGATTTGGTATTGCAGACAACATTGAGTGACTGCCCTCATAGGCGAGGATTTTCCTCATCCCCAGTTATTTCCTTGGCTAAGTTTCCAGGATCAGCGCTGCTGGGGCACAGAGAGCGCATGCTGTCAAGGCTTTCTTGAAAGATTGACTGGATTCCCTGTGGGACAGGGTTAGTCTACACTCTTACCTGGGTGAGTGTGCTGGTTTCTGATGTGGCCAGGTGATGAACTCTTTATCAGATGAAGGCCCAGAAGGGATGCGAGATACTTCCATGGAGGTAAAGCCACCTTCATCTTCACACACCTGCAGTAGAAGCTCTAGAAGCTGGAGTGAGCCCCAGTGTGGGTGGAGCGTGTGGGCACAGTGCCCTCTGCTGGCTCCCTGCTGCAGAGATGTGTGGCAGTGGAGGAGGTAGTGAGCTCAGTGCTCAGTGCTGACCCCAGACCCTTGGTGCAAGTGCCAGGAAATGAAGAGCAACATTGTAACGAGCTTTGGCCACTTAAATTCAGCCTTGGGTGACATTTACTTCATGGCCAGGTTCATATGCAGCAGTAACTTTCAGCAGTGAATGCTTCGGGCCCTGCGGAACATTTGACGCTGTGAGGAGACCTTGAATTTGTAAGTGGCGTCAATCTGAGAGTGGAGGAGCCCAAGGGTGCTGCTGCCCTCTAGTGGGAGGGGCCCAGGGGCACTGCCACGTGTGTAGGGTGCACAGGGAGCCCCACAGCAAAGGGCGCTGGGTTTAAGGTTCGGAAGCCTCCTGTGAAGGAAGTGTCTCTTTACAGGCCAAAATAAAGTCTAAAAATATTAATATTTAATATGTGTCACTGTTATCATTATGACTTGGTGGTAGAAACTTGCTAATTTTGCAGCATAAAATGAAAAGAAAAACAGGTGGAACTGAAACAACAAACTGGCATTTCTGAAAGAGGGGGCCAGATAGAACTCATAGAATGTTCCATGTACTCGTAAGAGGGAAATGCTTTTCTGTTGACTTGACTTGGTTAAACCTGCTGTAAATTCCTGCCGCTTTTCTTGAAGGCTTCATCTGCTAAAAATAGAGCTGTATTTGATGCCTACCCCCGCTTCACAAGTGCCAGTGTGTTGCTAAGGTTAATAACCATGCTGTCCGGGGTCTGGAATGCAGTTACCACCTGAGGTTACCATTGGTTGCCCCCTTCCTCCCCTGGATGCTGACTCAAGCATTGTTTTGGGGGGAAGGGATAGAAGAATTTAGAGTGATCTCACAGAAGGGTGTGCCTAAAGGGGAAGTATGGCAAGAATTTTTGGAAAAGCAAATTGTGCTGCAACTGCCTTCCACATTTGCTGAGCCAGAAGACCTCTGCTGCTTGTGTCAGCTAAAGCTGCTTACAGAACATGGTGGTGTTTCATTTTTATTTAGCCTTGCTGTTCTCCAAATGACTTGCATTGTAATGCATGAGTGTTGAAATAATTCACTGGAGCCTCCTTGGCCGTCTAGATAATGTTGGGATTATTTAGCCAGAAACAGGGAGATAAAGGGAATCTGCAGCTTTACCCTGAACATCAGACACTGTTTTGATTATCTCGCGTGAGAAGTGTTTTTTTCAAACTATAGGTCCTATTAATGAGTGGATTGTCAGGTTAATTAGCAGATCACCACCAACATCATAGCAACAGCAAATAATCAGGTAGAATGGGAACTATCAAAGAGTTTGGCTGCTGTATAAACATGTCACCATACATAGGTATGTTTACATATGTGTTCCTGTGTGTGCACACACATGCATGATGAGTTTGAAAGACAGCAGCCTAGATTTTAGTGTGACGAGACCTGGCTTGCTTTTGAGCTGCTCTGTGGACTAGGGGACTCCTGTGTATCACCCATTCTTAGCTTTCCTTCTGTTGCTCTTCCAGGCGGTACGCGGGAGATCGGCTCGGCCCTCACCAGGATGTGCATGAGACACAGAAGCATAGAAGCCAAGCTGAGGCAGTTTTCCAGGTGAGCAAAGTGCCCTTGCTGGTTCAGGTTGGAGGTGTAGTGATGCACACCGTGCCTTGCTTTGAGCAGTGCCTGTCTCCTGCAACCCGGGCTTTCCCCGACGGCCTTCACTGAAGAAGCATCTGTTGGGGCCCTGCTGCTTGTCAGGCCTGGGTCTAGTGCAGTGGTGGCAAACCTATGGCACATGGGCTGAGCTGCAGTAGGCCATTTGCATCATCAAAAGCTCTAAAAGGTTTACCACCATCCCTGATCAAGGCTGGGGCTGCAGTGGGGGACCACCATCCAGGTCCCTGCCTTCCAGAGGCTGCAGCTCCATCTGCGTGGCCCGGCATCTCTGCCCAGGTCTCTCCTCGGCTCCACTGAACTGAGGAGCCAGTTGTCCTGCTGAGGCACGCTGAGCCCTGCCTTGTGGGATCCTCTTAGAAGAGAGAATGGCTCCTGGAGCCCTTCACATCACCTTCCCAGCTTTCAGAGCAGAGAGAAGGCCCAAGCTGGCACTGGGTGTGGACTCGCCAGCATAGAAATGAAAATGCACATCTGTTTCTAAGTGGTATACGCAGCAGGGGCTGAAGGTTGTGTTTGGGGCAGTATGGAGTAAACTTAGGGTGCACCTGGAGACCCCTTGACCTCTCAGTGGACCGGAAGCTGGCAGGGCAGCTCGAGCCTTCTCTGAAGCTCTTAGTGCTCCCCTCTCAAGGCCGGGCACAGTTGGTTTCCCCGATAATGTGCCCTCCCAGACACACACTAACACCTGAGTCTTTGAGAATGCACAGTGCTGGGTCCCCATCCTCAAAAGCTTCTGTGGGAGGTGACTGCCTCTGGGTGAGCCCTGTTTTCTGGTTTAACACGATTGCTGGGAAGTGAGAAGGGGTCACTCCCACCAGTCATGCATACAGCTTCTTGTAGTCTTCTCAGAAGCATCCTGAGAACGAGGCAGCCCCTGATGCGAGGGTTGGCTCCTTCTGCCGCTTCTCTTGCTTCGAGGGTGTGGTGCAGGTTTGTTCTGACAATGATGTGTGAGCCCTGACAGCAGATTATATCTGTTTAGGGCTGGGGATTTAGCTCAGCGGCATAAGTGACTGCTTTGCCAGCAGGCAGTCGTGAGTTTGATCCCTGGTACCCATAAAAAAGAAAGAGACAAAAAACAACAACAGCAAAAAAACAAACAAACAAACAAAAAAACACAAAAGAATGTATCTGTTTAACTTCTTTTCTTTCTCTTTTGGCAAAAGTGCTTTAATTGATTGTCTGATAAATCCACTTCAAGAGCAGATGGAAGAGTGGAAGAAAGTGGCCAACCAGCTGGATAAAGATCATGCAAAAGGTACAGGATCTCACATCTGCCATGTCCCCACACCTGGGAGGAGCCCTGGGTGTTGTCTGCCACCTCTGTCACCAAAATAGCTCAGGACCCTCTCTGTCCCTGCTTCTCCTTAGAGACATTAACATGTTGAAGATGAGAAGTCCAAAGGGGTCCCATGGCAGGACTGAGTGCCGTTTTGGGGGCATGAAACATCACTCAGCAGCTGATAGTCTTTCTCCTTGGTAACATTGTGGTCAGCTGAGTTAAATGTGCCTTATGATCTCAGGTTTAAATGGCTTAGTTACTTTTCTCAGTGCTGAGACAAAATACCTGATATCCAAAGTGCAAAGGTATGTTTAGTTCACAGTTGGTGGATGTTTCAGTATGTGATCTGCTGGCCCCAAGGCAGGGTGGCACATGGCAGAGGGGTAACAGTTCATGGTGATGGAAGACAGCAAAAGGAAGCAAGGGAAGTGTGAAGCGAGCGTCTTTCTGTCCCTCATAGAGTATCCAGTCTACTGGGACGAGGGCTGTGCCTTCCTAGTCAGTGGACTGATCCAGCAATCCCCCATCCTACTCCTAACAGCTTTAATCCCAGAATTGCACAGTGAATCAGTCACACACCCTAGACTCATCCATCTTTAAAAAGACTTCCCCCATAACTACATGAGGTTTGGAGGGGACATCTAGACACAAACCATAACAGAAGGGATTTCAAGGGACTTGGAAAACCAGGATTCTGATACACTGACCTTGGCCATTCTCTCCGTGTTGTCTGGAGTGAAGTGGTTTACTTAGCTGTCAAGGACCTTGCTGTACCCTTCACACTGACCAGCAAGCCCTTCATGGTGAGGTTTTGTCCCTTTTTTTGGGTCATCCTGACATTGTTTATGTGCTGAGTCCTAAAGATACATAGAAATAAGTGGTTCTTACTAACAGGGGAACCAGTGAACTTCACTGGGAGACACAGCCAGTGACTGCTCCAGAGGTGTGCAGAAGCCACTTTCCATTGGCTTTGGAAAGAGGCCTCCTTTGGGCCTCAGAGAAGATTGATTTTGCCTGCTTTTGGCCATTCGATGAAACTTAATCCACAGCCAGGGGCTGGACAGTCATATTTCCCTCAGCTCTTTCATCCTTTTTCTCATTCATGTACCTTGGAGCTGTTGAGTTGTGCTGTGCTCTGTGTCCGCATTCTCATCATGGCCACAAAAATACACCGATCTTGATTTGGGGGCTTGTCCTCTAAACTTGGGTAGGCACAGACCGTAGAGTCTTGTGGTCCTGTCTTCTTTGTACTGGAGATTGGTCTGACAAAAACTACAGCAGCCATTCTATTGGAGAACGAGGAATGGCAAGGGCCTGGGTACACTGAGATCTCACCTTTGGAGAAAGATGCTGGTGTTGCTTGCAGCTTTGAGGAAGAGTTAGGTTGAAAGTCATTTTGTTCCCAGTTTTTAAATATGTACACAGATTGTATGGCTTTTGCCACTAAAGCAATAAAATATAACCATGCGATAGAAAAAGACATTTTCAGAAGTACGGGTAGACTTGCCAAATATTTAGCAATTGTATTAAAAGATTACTGGAATCTTTTATTCTTTCTACCCTGGTTTTTTTTTGGGGGGGGGGCGGGGTACATGACCATGCACTTGCAAGGCAGGCGCTTATGCCACTGAGATAAATTCCTGGCCCTCTATCCTGATTTGAAAAAAAGTTAGAATTCATCTTTAACAGGAAACATGTCATCCTAAACCTGTGTTTGTTTTAAGAGTCATTTTAAAAAGTTTTTCCTTAAAATCTCCCCAAAGTGGCATTCCCCAGCTGGGACTAGTTTGATACCATCTTAAAAAGTCTTTTTTTCTGCTCATCTGAAGTTAGCGAGCTAGGTGGCTGTCCCACCATTGATGGTCAGACTTCTGTCAGTTCCCGGGGTGCTTCCCTCTGTACCTCCATTAGGTAAAATAAAGTAGAAATACTTGACAGTTTTTTCCAATGGGAGAGAGTTTACATTCATCCCACACCATTTTTTCTTTTTCTTTTTTGTACTGGGGATCGAACTCCCGACCATACGCTTTCAAGGCAGGCACTTACGCTGCTGAGCTAAATCCCTGATTCCACGCTATTTTTTCGTGCCACTTTTTCATTGAATGCACCCATTTGCTGGAGCAGCAGAGCTGAGGGTTTTTTTTTTGTTTGTTTTTTGTTTTTTTTTAAAGCCAAGACTTCAAATTTGGTTGTGTGTGGCTTTTATAAAGAGACTTTGCTGAGTGCGTGGGGAAAAGGCTTGCACAGAGCTCTGCTGATCTTTCCTCCTCTAGCAGAACAGAGATCCTTGTTTTAATTGAATGTCCTCTGTGCTGCCTCCTGGCTGTGTGCAGAGAGTGCTTCTCAGTTTACATGCAGAGACAGAACACTGGGCCTGAGTGGGCATGTGTACTCACTGTTGGTCTAGACTGGTCAGGAGATTTAGGGTCCCAGGTCAGGTGTGGGAGAGAACCCCTTGTCCATCCCCATGAGAACCCGGCTGCTGGGCTGCCTCTCAGAGTGCACAGAGGTGACCAAGGCGTAGCTTCGCCCATTGGGAAGGCGGAGAGAAATACAGAGAGAGAACTCAGAAGCCCAAGGCAGCTGAGCACAAGCTTGGTCGGGGGAGAGAAACTGAGGTAGTGTTTGACAGGTCCCAGTGGATGGATACAGTCTCACTACACTGAATCTGGGGCGGGGCTAGTGTCCTTGCCAGAGAGTGAGCCAGGGGTGCTGGAGAAACATCAGCCAAGAGCAGGAAGCTGCCATGGGCCTCAGTCCGGTCTGCACAAACCTGGTCAGCAGCGTGAGGAGCCCGAATTAGCAGGGCACAGAGCCCAGACAGGACGAGAACAGCATTGGGCTGTAAGCAGATGTTCTGGCCGTGGTCCGTTGATGCTCCAACAAAGGCGTCTCGTACGCTCCCTGCCCTGGGAAAGTAGGTAGCACAGAAAATCTTCCGTGACTCTTGAGCCAAGAAACGGTGAATTCTTTTTGTTTTTATCAAAATATTCCCAGATGACATCCTTCCTCAAGGCTGACACAAGAAGGACAGGCCCGAGTGCATTTGTTGCTGTCATGTAAAGTTTCTTTGTTGTAAAATGTCATCCTGGGAGTTTTATCGTAGAATATTTCCACAGAGTTATTTACTGCCTGTCAGAGTTTGTGCCTTTTCTGACAAAAGTAGTGGCTATTCCTGAGTATTTTCTGTTCAGCTTAATTGTAAAGTCACTCAATATTCTGCTTTATTTTAGAATATAAGAAAGCTCGCCAAGAGATAAAAAAGAAGTCTTCAGATACGCTGAAACTGCAGAAGAAGGCAAAAAAAGGTAACTAAATATTCTGCCCCTAATACCTGTTACACTGAGACACGTATTGGTTTGTTGTTAAAACGAAGGTGTTCGATGCATAGACATCTTTGTCTGTGATGGCCTGAAGAACAGACAGGAGCAGTTAGACTCAGGAGAATAAAGTGCTCGGGGGGCCAGGGATTTAGCTCAGTGGTGCAGCACCTGCCTGGCAAGTGTGAGGTCCTGGGTTCGATTCCCGGTGCCACCCCTCCTCCCAAAAAAGAATTGACGTGTTTAGAATGCAGAATCTTATTAATTCAAAGCCCTGCCAAGTAGCGCTTGACTTACTCTTTCTGCCCCTTTATCTATCAAAGATGGGCATTTCCCATGCCTATGGTACTTTGTAATGGAAACTGTAAGTTCTTTTTTAAGAAAGAATTGGGATAATACGAAAAAGGCCTTATGCAAATGTCCCGTAGTAATTATTACAGAAATGATGTCATTTTCTCCTGTATGTTTTCTATAAGCTTCTGTTAAGTCTCTTGAGAGTGTTAGAAGGGGGTTCAGGGAGAACCAGAAAAACACTGCCCTTTGGGGGATTTTTCTTGATCTTCGTGAGGGCAGAGCCTGACAGTTCACCAACCACTCAGGGAAACAAGGAGGGTACAGTGTGATTCTTGTCTCTTGTGAATCTGTGAACGCTCATACCCACGACCCGTCAGGATGGATGGAAGCTGGCCCGGGTCCACTGTGCAGGCACCCTCAGCATTTTACTGCGGGCTACACGTGAGAATCTTCTCTGAGACGGAGATGCCGGTGCTGCTTCAGGGCTTTGTTCTGGAGCCCTAGATTGTGAATCTGTTGTACCCCAGCTGATGAGATGTGGTCCTCCCACCGGGGTGCTCCAAGGCGGGTGTGTGTCTGGGACAGCAGCCTTTTAGGGAGCATTCTGGAGCCAAAGAGCCATCTTGCACTTTCCGAAACAAGCAGTTTTCCTTGGGAATCAGTGGAATCTGATTAGGAAAATGGGGCGGTAGAGGCTGTTCATGTCTGCAGTTTGCCACTCTGACAGTAAAGTCCCAAAGTGGGCCTGGCAGTACATGTCTGTAGTTCCAGCACTCTGGGAGGCTGAGAAGGGATGGTTGAACTTCAGCCCAGCTGAGCAACTCACTTTGGAGGCTCTGTCGCAAAATGAAAACTAATCCTAGCACTCAGGAGGCTGAGGCAGGAGGAGCACTGCGAGTTCAAGGCCAGCCTGAGCTACATTAGACCCCATCTCCAAAAGCAAAAACAAAAACAAAAAGTAAAAGGGCCTGGGGATGTAGCTTAACACGAAAGCCCTGGGTTCAACCCAGGATAAAGAAGTCCTTTTCTTTGTTTTTCCAAAAATGGTAAGCTCATCTCAAGATAAAGGCAGCAGGATTTTTTTTAACCCACAATCGAATTTTCTGCTTGGCTTGGCTCTGGGCATTTCTTTGGGATGTGTTTTTCTGATCTTGTGTTTCAGATTTATATTTTACCTGATCAGAGCAGCTGGAAGCTGGTGTTTGACTAGTGACATTTTAGTGAGCAATAAATTGTTTACAAATAAAATTGCTCTATGGTCCATCAAACCTGGGCCTGTGAGGAGTGGGCTGGTCTACCTCATTGGCGGCTTGCAGCTTTGATGGGCTGATGAACCCGGAGAGATGGTCCTGGAAGATGCTTGGGCTAAGAAAGGGTTGGGAGTTTGGTGAAGAAGAGAGAGTAAGAAAAAGTAACAATTTTCTGGTTAGCTCTTCCTGAGTTTTCCTTTCCAAACTGTAAATTCTGGCTGGTAATCCTTTTAGCTGAGTTCTGCAGGGCGGCTAAGCAGATCCTTGCTGGCCACTTAGTCACCAGCATTGGCCAGTGAGCTTAATTTGGGTGAAAGCCCCATAAGTTGATCACAGTGCAACATCAAAAGAAGCTTCTGGCAACTAGATCTGGCCAGCATTGGCTCAGACTGCCTAGAGGATACCAAGCTGCCCTGCAGGCTGGGCAGGAAGGTCTGGGACTCACAGGGTGTCCGAGAACCTGGAACCTGCAGGGTATCTGGTCTTGGACGAATCTGTATCCAGTTGTGAGGTTTCTTGGGCATGGGGCACGGGTCCTGAGGCCGATAGAGGGGGCTGTGGTCCAGGCTTTCCGGAGTGCTCTCTTCTCAGCACCACCACCTCGCCGGTGTCTCAGCCACCTGTCCTTTGCAGATGGTGTGTGCAAGCCTGCAAGATCAGTCAGGTCAGCAGCAGTAATCTAGTTATTTTCAGGATGACATTTATACGTTTTTAAAAAAATTATTTAAGTGTACTTCCTGAGCCCGGTGTTCAGCTCGTAGTTTTGCATCTTAGGAGTGAGAATGCTCTTCCATAAGGTTGGCAGAGTTGTCACTCTGGTCAGCATCTTGTGTGCGCTCTCCTGCGGGCACTGGATCTGAGAACCGCCTGCAATTTAGGGGGCAGAAGAAATTCAAAGGCTTGTGGTTGTTTGAGCCACGGTTAGCTGCTAAAAAACCTCTTGAGGTGTTAAGCGGTTTTCTGCCATACCTTTTTGAGATCTTTGATCTAGAAATTCTTGACTCTTCCTTGTCGAAATTTCACATCCGCTGTGCATATTACTGTGATTTTACCACTTTAGCTTGGACAGACAGCTGTCATACGGGCTATGATCTTTCACCTTTCCACTCTTCAGAGGTCACCTTGTATCATGCACTTTAATCTTTTTTATATAGAGTGGAGATTTGTAATCTAAAGGTACTCAAGTATTTGTGTCGAACAAACTTACATGGATTGTTAGGTTTTTGTCCCCAAATTCTTAAAAAGCAGCATGTCATGTGCTCAGCTGTGGAGGAATGTCAGGCTTGGGGGACAGCTCCCGGGGAGCCCACGGGCAAGAGCTGAGGCTGGAGAGGGATGGTTCCCAACCTCTGCACAGGATCAGCAGCACAGGGTGGAGCCAGTCTTGTCAGCAGGTGAGGGAGGGCACAGAGCAGCAGGAAGCTGGGGAAACTGTGTGGTGCTGCGGTGGTATCTTTTGCTGCAGGATGGGAGTGCATTGCTTTTGGAGGGCATTCCTGGAGAAATCAGGGAGAACCGGAAGTTGCAGACATAATAATCTGCATTCCTGTTATCCATCTAACTGTGTGAAGTCAGCAGCCATATTTCTCATTTAACTTAACTCCCATATTACCATTATTCCCAAGGTTTGCAGTACTGGAGATTGAATCCCTGGAGTGAAACTGGGATCAAACCCAAGGACTTACACATGCTGAGCAAGTGCTCTACCTCTGAGCAGTGCCCCTGGCCTCCATGTCGTTAGCTGAAACTTAGAAATTGGATTGAGGATGTAGCTCAGGGACAGAGTGCTTGCCTAGTATGTCTAAGGCACTGGGTTTGACCCCCAGCACTGCAAAAATACATACATACATACATACATACATTAATTATGGTAGAGCTTTCTGTTTTGATCTGGAGAGGCAGAACTGGGTGATTACATGTGAACCACATAAAGAATCCATCATTTGCAGTGGAGTTTGCAAAGCCAGTCTTACAATATATAATAGACTCAACGGAGTTCCATGCCAGTATAGTATTTGTATATTAAAGTTTTAGGTTTTTAAGTTTCATTCTACTTTAAAGTTTGGCTTGTTAGATTTCCCCGATGTGTTTCAGCTTATGATACATTATACTTCAGAGATTGTCTTGCTGAGGCATCTGCCGTGGCCTCTTTTGGGTCTGTAGTCTTCACCTCTCTTCACGGAACCCTTATCTATGTGAGCAGCACAGACGACTTGGGCCAGTTTCTGTTCGGGTGAGGAGGACAGGGCACTGGGAGCACTGGCCAGGCAGGAAGGGAAGCATGGACGTGGCTCTTGGAGGGTGTGGGCTTCACCGCCCGGCCGTCCATGCGAGCAAAAGCTAAAGGAGGCCACTGCTCGAATACCAGTTTGACTCTTGTTGTTTTCCTTTTTGTGTCAATTGTGTATCCTGCACTTTCTCACCGTGTGCCCGCCAGTGGACGCCCTGGGTAAGTCTGCTCTCCCGCTCTCTGGTGGCTGGTCGCAGTGTGGTCCTTGCTGTGGGCTTTCTGTGGTTGTTCAGACCTCCTCTAGCTGCCCAGGTTTTCCTGCCAGCTCAGAACAATCAGTCGTGTCACCTGCCTTCCCGTAACTTTAATGAAATTGTGTGTGCGTGTGCTTTAATCTTGGATGTTTGGGTACTGAGAGTGCTAGCATCATGTTCTATGGACCTTTCTGTCTGCATAATTCAGTATTAGACTCATGGAAAAAAGAAATACCGAGTGATTTAAATACCGCCTATTCTGTAAGAATTCAGTATGTTTTTACATAATACATGTATACACCTGTGCATACATGTGCATGTGTTTCTATTCCACAAACAGAGCAATGAGAGCTACACTGTGTAACTCTGCAAATTAATTCCCAAATCTGATTTGGTTGTAATAAGATTACAAAATATCCAACTTTGCCTGCTGAAGGCCATACAGTTCTTTCCAAAACCAATAATTCATTAAAAAAAATCAGCTAAGTATTTCTTATTTCATCAGAGTTTGTGAATGTTTTATTTCAAAGGAATCCAGTCTTCAAATCCAGCCCACAGATGATTCTCTGGATTGAATGTGAGCCTCAATGAGTGATTGTGCTGCTGAACTGCAGGTTGCTTTGGGGTCTTGTTGCTGTGCTCCTGTCCTGGGAAGCTCTGTCTGTGAGGTGTGTGTGTGGCCCTGGCCTCATGTGTCCAGCTGTTCTCTGAGCCTTTGACTGACAGCTCCATGAGGTATTCAGGTGGGATTCTGCATCTTCACCAAACCCGGGTCACAAGGGTGTCCTTTGGGGGGCAGGTGGCCCACTGCCATGGGGTGCACTTGTGTCTCTGTGCCCACTTGTGGTACTGAGCCGATCATTCCTCACTGTGAAAGGGGCTGGTCCCTGCCCGGTCTCAGTATTGTGACTACGGAACAGCTTGGGCATTTCGTTAGTAAACCTTTGGAAGGAAGGTAAGGCACAGGCACATTTTTGCTTATTGCAGTAAAATTCACATAACATAAAATGCACCATGTTAACTGTTTTAAGATTATATATTTCGGTGGCTTTTCCCATTCACAATGTTGTACTGCCATCACCACTGTCCGTTTGAAGACATTTTTGTCACTGTGAAAAGATACCTCCTGGCTGTTTAGTGGTCCCTGTCACCTCGCCCTCCAGCGCCTGAGCCCAAAACCGCTCACCTCTTCCTTGTACCTGGATTTGCCTCTCTTGGACGTTTACATACCCAGATCATGCAGTAAGGGCTGGCCAAGGACAGTCTCCTGGCCTCTGAGTTTTATGAAGCCTTTCCTGAGAATCTGGCGACTCAGCTCACCGGATAAACTGGGCATTTTGCTTGCTCGAGATGACAGGAGGCCAATTTGGGATGTGTGAGGACACCGTGTGGCCTTGTTGGTATCATCAGGTGAGGCTGCTGCCTGTCTTAGTCACACGGATGTCTCTGTGCTGCTCCTGCTGGGCAGATCGAGAGGATAAAGCCACAGTACTGGGTGTGTTGATGGCAGTCACTGTGGGTGTACAGATGCAAGGAAAATCGTGTGGGTTGATGAGTTCCTGAGTTCGTGAAAGCTTTTTTTTTTTTTTTTTTTGTCTTTTTCGTTTTTATCGGCACCAGGGATTGAACTCACAACTGCCTGCTTGCAAGGCAGGCACTTATGCCACTGAGCTAAATCCCCAGCCCCCTCGTGAAAGAATTTTAAGATTAGTTTTGAACCCCGAACTCTGTATTTTAACAGTTCCATGATCGATAACGTGCTCTTGGGCTGGGGTAGGAGTAGTTCAGTGGGCTGGCACTTGCCCAGTGTGCCCTGGGTTCCACCACTGACTCCCCCAAAGCAAAACCAGAAACAGAAGCACTGGCTTACAGAGAAGGGAAAATGCACGAAAATCTCCTTTGGAGAATTAGGGCAACCAACCGAAGGGAGGGCACTAGCTAAGCCCAGGGTGGCATGAAGGTCCTGCGCAGGATGGATAGGAGTCAGTCAGTGGAGAACCAGGAAGCAGGCATTCAGGGCTGAAATGACAGGATAAACGGAGATGTGGCTGTCACCATGTGGTCAGGAGTCCTGGAAACTGTGGTAAAGCATAGGCAAGTTGCAGAGGGGCCTGCCATCAGAGGGGCAGTGTGTGTGATGCCCGAGGCAGGCACTTAGAAAACCCACAGTGACCCTGGCCTCTGGCATCCTGGGCAGCCCTCCATTTGAACCTGCGTCCAGGGTGGTTCCACCACTGGCCTCATGTCCCCTAGACCCTGGAGCCACCTGCATCCCTCCCCACTGCATCCTTCCCTTCCCGAGAGGCAGGCTGTGCACGGTGGCTCTGCCAGCTGTGGTTTGGTGTCCTCCTGGACCTGTGCCACATGTCCACGTGCCACACGAACCTTTCTCCTGTGTTTGCAGAACTCTCCCAGGGAGCCTGAAACCTGCTGTGGTCAGACGGTAAAAGAAATCTGCTAAGCACCTTTCCTTTGAGTTGTGGAGAGGTGGTTCTGGGGCTTTCCTCCTTGGAGCACCTGGGCGATGGTTCCAGCCAGCCAGTCCCCTGGGGTAGCTACAGGATGGCAGAGTAGGAAATGCAGAAGGAAGTGGCAGCCAGGCCCCCACCTGGTAGAAGCAGGGCTGGACCCTAACCCTTTCAGACTATTGTGGCAGTCGGGAGCCGTTAGTGGTGTTCAAATTGCGCTCGGCTCCTGCACAAGGTGTTTCAGGTGAAAGCAGGTGGTCCTTGGAGGCAGGGGAAGCAGGAGCTTTATCCCATACGTAAGGGCTCTAAGCAGACCCCCTTGAAGCTGGAGTGGCGAGGTCTCTTCCTGTGAGGGTCAGGTCTGGCAGCACCTTGCCAACAGGGTGCCTGCAGTGCCCAGAAGAGCCCTGCACATGGTGAGGCCTTTGAGTTCCTCCGGGGTGTGTGCAGAGCCTGGGCGATGTGTTGGCAGTGTGAGGCTGCAGCAGGAGCCAAAACACTTCAGTCGCCATTAATTTTAAAAAATACAAAATGGCAGAGAGCTAAACAGCACCTTGCTTTAAGTACTGATGCTTGCATGTCGCAGTTTTTAATCTCCCTTGAGAACACTGTGTGGCTGGTTCAGAGTTGGATAAGGGGCAGGCTAGGTAGTTTTGTCAGTCTTTTTTTTGTACTAAGGATGGAACTCACAACCTCAAGCTTGCAAGACAGGTGCTTAAGCCGCTGAGCTAAATCCCCAGCCTTACTCTGTCAGTCTTAAGCTGCAACCCATAAGCCATTCAGGTTTTACTGGATTCTTTGATTCACATCTGCTCCCATTCTTTCATTCATAAATGTTTTTGCTCGCAGCAGTTAAGTCTGGAAGGCAGCATTTGTTCATTCATTCATTCATTCAGAAATGAATGTGAGGCTGTTCCTCTGTTAGCTGCTCTGGAGGCACATGTAGACTGTCCGCAGGTTGTATCCCAGCGGGCAAATGCATTTAGGTCATGACAGATGCCTCATCAGTGTGGCAACATCAGCTCTCTGATGCCAGCTGAGCATCTTGCAGTTCAGTTCAGTTCTGACACCAGCCAGGAGTTAGTGAAGACTCTGCCTGGCAAGGAGCACGCCGTAAAGCCTGTCCTAACCAGCCACAAGTCAGGTCCCCAGGACCCTGACCCTTCTGCCTTGGCAACCACAGATTTGAGGTTACCTCCAAGCTTAATGACACCCTACAACAGCTCATGGGACACAGAAGACACTATGATTGTGAGAATCATTTTATTAGAGAGTCAGGGGAACAGCCCAGGTGGAGAGATACACATGGTGGCCAGGGTCATGGAGGCCGGCACAGAGCTTCCGTGCCCTCTCCAGGTACCCACATTCCCAGCATCTTGATACATTACCAGCCAAGAAGCACCCTGAGCCTCATTGGTCAAGAGTTTTGATGGAGGCTTTATTTTATCAGCTGCTGGTCACTGAACTCTGCCTGTAGCCCCTCTGATGTCCTTGAAGTCAGGAGCTGGGGTAGAAGTGCCAGTCTTCCAATGCAGCAGTTGGTTTTTCCAGCAACCAACCGGCACCCCCATCCCCAATATATTTATACCCCTTCCTCTCTTACAACACCTCATTAGCAAAGAGACCCATGGCCATTCCTGAAAGTCCAAGGACTTTTTGAAGCTCTGCTGGAGTTGAAGGTGAAGGCAGGCTTCTGGGTCAGGTAGTAGGTGGCGGTATTTCTTTAGCCACTTGGGAAGCTTTGGGGATGTGAGACAGCCTGGGTGGTGAGGTGCAGGTCACCTGGATCTTTTCTGATTGTCCTTGCAGCTTTTTTAATTCTTTGCTTCCATAAATAGCAGATTGCCTTGTGTCTGTTGCTGTAGCTACCTGAAAATAGGTAATACATAAAGACAGGTTGGTTTGGCTCCTGGTCTGGTGGCCTCTGCTGCCTCAGGACAGCATGGAGGACCGCGCAGAGCAAGCCACTAGCTCAGGCCTGTCAGATCCCTCTAGAGCCCCAGCCTGTTGACCTCATCTGATTGTAGTCTCCTCCCCAGAGCCTCGTCTCCAAAACCATTCACACGGGAACTAGGAACTAAGTTTCCAGTACATGAACTTTGGGGACAGCTAAAACTAGAAAAGCATCCTAATGATGAAACTCCCACCTTTAGTTGAAGAATATGAGATTGTTCCCATTTAATTACATTAAAAAGGGTCCCCAAGGAAAGTCACCTTTAAAAACCTCTGCCTTACCCCGAGTTACCTATCTAGGCAGGGTCCCGGATACAGGGTGCCCATGACACATGGGCCTTGCCGAGGGCTCACCTTTGCCCCTGGGCTTCTGCACACTGGGTGTGGATTACTTCCTTTGCTTTTATATCATCCATTCCCATGTAAAGGGGGACTGAGGCATCTGAGATCGAAAGAATAACAGAAAGTGAGTTTGTTTGAAAAGTGTGAAGGCTAAAAACATTCGGTCTTCCCCGATCAAATTTGTCTTGATTCCTGGTTCTTC